TCTGAGAGGGCAGATCTGTGCGTTTCCCCCACCAATAGCTAGCAATCTAAAACAGTCCAGTGGAGCCTGAGCGATGGGTGTTGCCTTCTGACACACTTCCGGTGATGTCAGGGTGTATGGCATATGCAAATATGCTAATGAGCTCCTTCACCTCTTTTTCTGCGAAATGACCCCTGGTTTGGAGCAACCATGTTTCTAAGTATTTTGTAGAACAGGTCCCCAGTCAAAGTCATGGACCTGAGTTGCCGTACACTCCTGACACTGTCAGTGGGGCTTAGAAAGGTATAACTCTGTTAACAATTGCTCTGTTAGTGAAATAATCTGAGAGTGGGTATGTAACGATTCTTTGTTTCTCTCTCTGTGTGTCTCTTTAAAAGTTTGGTTGCATGGCTGTGATAGATAGACTAGAGTGGTTGAGAGAGGCAAGTGTGGCATGATTGGTGGTTGACAGAGAGGGGGAGGAGTTTTGGAAGTGAATCTGGTTGGATGAGTATGTGAGTCAGTCAGGAGTTTCAGTTACAAGTTGACAGTTGATGTGTTCAGTTAGTTCTGTGTGGAAGCAGTTAAAAAGCTGACAGCTGAGGTTGTTCAGTGAGAGAGAAAAAGAAATCTGAAAGCTGAATGTATAGGAAAAAGTAAAGTAAAGTTTAAGTGAAGTAAAGATAAAGGAAAGTCTGAGTGTCGTAACAAACTGGAGTGAAACAGTGAACATGTATGGCACTGAGATAAACAAGTGTTACAAAGTTACATGAAAAGATCCCTGTCAGTGAGGGAAAAGATTGAGTGTGATACTAAAGCAATTGTACATCATTTACACATTACTAGTTACATTGTATCACCCTCTTATTTAGTATTTATTTCAATAAATCCTCTTTTATTTAAGTTTATACCAGCTCTGAATGAAATACTTTTCAGGACCACATAGTTCCTCGTAAGCCTTGAACTCGGTCTACCAAACTAAAAAGAGCAACAGTAGAAGCATAAAGGTTTGGAAATCCTTAACATTTCCTGGTGGCAGCAGAATCTACCCAGTTAGATGGATGGACAAATATAAGGCTCCAGGATGCCATGGTGCCTAGACTTTTATTATGGTGCCTTTCATTTTTGGCAATGATTTTATGTAGCATTTCTCAGCTGTTCTCCATGAAAGTATAAAGAGTTGGATCCAGCCAGTTTTTCCACTGGTGAAAATGGGTGGGAGCATGTGGCACTTCACGTATGAAAACTCCTGACTACATGATAAACTCATGCACAAATCTTAGTTTAATCCTACTGTTAAAGGCTGAACTGCAGATCATTTTAGAAGTAATGGCAACTCTGAGACTTGTGGCTGAAGCCCAAAGAATTTTTTTTTTCCTTGTCTTGACATGGCTGGTTTTATGACATCCTGAGATGGATGTTTTGTGATCAAGTCGTTGTGATCACATAAAAAAAAACCGCATCAAATTTACATTGTGTGGTCTGCTTTGAGTCTCACCAAGAAAGGGGGGCTATAAATACAAATGAACAAAACTAGATGTCTGCTGCCAAAGATATGTCTGTTTGGTTGAAAACCTTAGGTGAAATTAGGCTCTCTTCCCAACACCTTCACTTCCTTGTATCCGATCTCCACTCTTCACAGTCATGCAGCTTCCAAAACCTGCTGACATCTATCCTGAACTTCTGCCTCGTCTCACCTACCCTCTCTCAAGCCTATGCGGCCCATCGCTCCCTCCGGTTTTTGTTGCTGCTTACCCCATTCATTCATCTCCTCACTACTGGGTTCTCTTCCCACTCATCTTCCTAGTCCTCTCCTCCCAGTTTCTCTGTCTTTCCTTAACACAGTATCTCTGTCTTTCCTTACCTCTGTCTTTCCTTTCCTGTTGGTCTTTCTCACCAACAGTATCTCTGTCTTTCCTTACCAGTATCTCTGTCTTTCCTTACTCTGTCTTTCCTTGTGTTCCTGGGTCCTGCAGGAATGTATTTCCTCGCTCACCTTTCATTCATCTTGCTGAAGCAACACAGTGTGGCTTTGTTCTACAAATAGAATATTTGTATACGTTCCATGACATCACAGCTGCTCAGTGTTCCCTCTAAGCTGAGTTCGTGTGAGCTAGCTCACAGTTCTTTAGCCTCTGGTGTGCACCTTTTTGTCTTAGCTCAGGAAGGATGGCTCCGGGGCAAACCAATTTATGCCGCAGCCAAATCGCTCGCTCACAGCTTTCATGCCAGTCGCTCACAAAGTAGAATTTTTGCTCACGATACTCCACCGTTTGAGAGAGCATTGCAGCTGCTCTACGGATTCTGAGGGTGGAGGGACAGAACGTAAGCTTGAACACAGATAGACAGGGTAGGGGCCTTGGAGGAGTATCTGCTTGGGGTGCCGAAGGTCCCGGGTTCAATTCCCAGCATCTCCAGCTAAAAGGACCAGGTTGTAGGTGATGTGAAATACCTCTGCCTGAGACCCTGCTGCTAGTCAGAGTCGACAGTACTGACTGTGATGGACCAACAGTCTCATTCAGTATAATGCAGTTTCATCTCTCCATGTGCAACTGTTTTTTCTTGGAGTGTTTTACATACACGTGATGAGATGCTTTAGAACAAGGTGCTTACCCAGTTCTCAGTTTTCTCTCGTCTTTCTAGAAGCTTTTGCTGCAGCATCTCTCCTTGGCCTCCGGCAGCTCCAAACCTCTCCACAATCCTTTTTGTCTTCGTGTATTGTTCTTCAGAGACCAGATGTCTCATACACTGAAGATACATCTGCAGTGTCTGTTGTAGTGGTGGGACCGGCAGTTTGGGCAGCACCTAATTTAAAAGACCATGGGCAATCAGAAATTAGATAATGATTGGCATTTTGTAACAGCTGTAAATTTGAAATTGGGTTTAATGTTCAGATGTAAATGCGTGAGCTCTGACCCCTGGGGCAGGACGGCTGTGTTTGTAACTGCTCCATGGAAGGGAATGTATCTGCAAGGTTTTACCTTCTCTCACCATGGTGCTGAAGTTGCCCGTGGCTTTGCATCTGCCAATTTCTCCTTCCAGTGTAAGCATCAAAGGGCCAGAAATCCTGTCCCAGGTGCAGTCTTACCTGGCGTGTACCCCCTTGTGGCAAACCCGCCGTGGCCAAAAAAGGAACGCTCTTCAAATGCAGAAACTATAACAAGAGCACTCCGAATAACAAGCAGATACAGAATTCACAGTGCCGTGCTAAGCAGGGTTCTACTCATGGAAGTCCACTGACGTCAAAGGGTTTAGAACTCTGCTTA